CTCTCACTCTCTCTCTCTCTCCATCTTGTTGTGGACCTCTGGATACTCTCAACACACGGCGCTCTGCCTGCACGCCGCCTCCCACAGTCACAGCCACGAGCAATGTTGTTCTTGAAAGCTTGAGTTCTGCAGCAGGAGCTGACATGTGATGGAGTTGTTTGTGTGTCTGTGCGATGTTTTGTTCAGCAGAAAGTGGTGTGTTTTTTTTACTTTAAAGGGACATTTCGCGGAACAAATCTCCACTTATTGGAGAGGCCTTTTACTACATATGAAACTCTTAGTGTGAAGGTCGGACTCCTTTTATTTCCTCTTTCAAATCTGTTTTTATTTCAAGGCTTTCTGTTTATTTATTATTATTTTGTCAGCTGCGTTTGTTGACAACCTCATTTTTAAAAAACCTCATCAATCTTGTACGTGTGAAACAGCTGGGCTCTGTATTTTTTAACAATTGTGCCTGGATAAGTGGTTAATACTTTATTGGATGGGGAATATTTTCAGCTGTGGATTAACACACGTGGCGAGCAGTCTGGTTCTCGCTGTCTGAGGACACTAGGAAAATGAAAACAAACCAAAGGGAGGGTTATTGTTGCACAGGTGTGGGTGTTTTTCTCTTTTCTATCTGCGCGTTTTACTCCACAGTCTGTTTGTTTTTATTATTTCTTTTACAAAGGGTAGACCTGGTGGTTGGTTAAAGTCCCTGTGAGGCGTAGTTAAATGGATGAAACTCCAAAGTACAACCTGTTAATGACAAAAAAAATCAATAACTGAATAAATATTCAAAAAATACAAATGAGACTGTTTTTTTAATGAAATTTGACTTTTTTTATTGCAAACATTTAACAAGACATACAAAGGAGTGAAGTGCAATATGAATAATAATTAAAACAGGAAATAACAAGAAAGTTAAAAAACACCAACAAAGACAAAAACGAGACAAAAACAACAACAAAAAAAAGATAATGGAGATTAATAATGGTAAATCAGCACAAAATTTGACAATGAGATGGGAAAACCTAGAGCTACGGTGGCCCTGAAGGTCAACTGTTCAAATGTTTAATGAATTTTAATGTATTTTATTGGATATTAAAAAACACAATCTTCAACTGAGTACAAAAAAATAAAAAAACACACAGTAACATTTATAAAAAGAACTTAATGATAAATGTTAAAATGTTACAAAATTTTTAAAACAATGTAAAAAAAATCATGAAACACAAAATACATTTAACCAAAATAAAGGCATCAAACACACTCCATTAAGTGTTAAATATTTTATCAAATATGAGATTATTTAATGAGATGAATTTTTAATGAGATGTCTCCCAATTAATTTTCTGAAATGTTTCATTAGGATATTTTTGTTGTTTTCATAAAATCCTTTTTCTTTATTTCTGTCCAGCTGACCTTATGGGCCACCGTACAAACCAGGCAATCAGATCAGAGGAGGTGCCAACTTAAATCTGTTTACAGCAAACAAGGAAAAAGAAAGGGCAAAATCAGCAATCAAGTAACAGATATGACCTTGTGCACAAGGGGGCGCCAAATTCGTCAACAACTGAAAGTTCCTCGCAGCTTTAATAAAAACCTAAAATCCAAACTGAAGCCGTATTTTGAGTTATTTAAAAGAATTTTAAGTGATTATAAAACAGATCATTTCTCCGTGGGTTCATTCACAAATATGCTGCAATTACCAGTCATTATTTATATCAGAAATACTTTGAATAGATTTAATTATTTCAGGGTCTTTTTTGACATTTAATAATGAAGAACAGAATAATTAAAGCTGACAGTGTATTAAATCAACCACCTGTATCCTGTAACACCAACAAAAGCACCGTTTATAGACAGTGAAGGCTTTTCTTCGAACCTCGGTGAGATTCCTTGTTCACAAATTTTTTTTTATGAAATACAAAAAAACATTTTACCAAAATAAAAGCATCAAACAAAGACGGATCATCATGACTGCAGCGATTAAAAACACAAACACATTCGATTAAGGTTTAAATATTTTATTTAATATAAGATTATTTAATGAGATGAACATTTCCTAAAATACAAACAAAGTTCATGAAGTTAATAAAGTTACTCTTGTATTGCTGGATATATTGCTGACCTTGTGGGCCACCGTACAAACCAGACAATTGAATTAGAGAAAGTGTCTATTTTAATCTGTCTACAGCAAACAAGGAAAAATGACTAACAGGACATGTGCAGATCAAAATCAGCGATAAGGTCAAATATATGACCTTGTCCACAGGGGGGCACCAAATTTGACAACTGAAAGATTCTTGCATAGCTTTAATAGAAACATAAAATCCAACACTTAAGCTGTATTTTTAGTCATTTAAAAGATTTTTTAGAGGTCATTTCTTTGTGGGGTTTGTCACTTATACACTTCAATTATCAGTCATTATATATATCAGAAATACTTCCAATAGATTTAATTATTTCAGGGTCTTTTTTGTCATTTAATGATGAAGAAGAGAAGAATTAAAGCCAACAGTGTATTAAATCGACCACCTGTATCCTGTATCGTAGACAGTGAAGGCTCTTCTTCGCGCCTCGGTGAGATTCCTTGTTCGCAGTAAAGAGAAAAAAGCCGAAGACGCTCGTCCGTGTTGTCCTCACTCTGTCATATCTGATGGATCTGTGGCTGTGCAGAAAAGTTTTGCCCTACTTTTGAAGCGAGGAGGTCCGGGGGTGAGGAGGAAAGGTTTGCCTCAGGCGGCTGCAGCTGTGTGATGGTCTGTTACTGGGAGTTTTCTCCAACCCACCGGGACCAAAACAACTCTCTGGTCAGTCTCAATCTCTGACCTGCTGGATGGAGGAAATCTGCTCCAAACGTTTCTCTTCATACGCCTTCTGTGCGCCAGATACATCACCCAAATATCTCATCCCCGAGTCCCCTCCATGCTCAATTTGTTGCTTGTTTTTATGTCTAGCCGACAAGCAATTAATAATTGTTGCTCTCCAGCCTGACTCAGGGATGATATTTATTGGGAGATCGATGCTTGTTTTCTCCAGTATTGTTCCAATCTCCTTTGGAGTCACGGAGGTGCTCAAACTGATGTAGACAGCCGTTAAATTTCTCGTCCTCACACATTATTTTCGGCTAAAGCAGCAGCCTTGTGTTTTCAATGAGCAGCACAATCCTCCTTCTAAAAGTCTGCTCAGTTTTTACACTCATTCTTTACACCCTAATTGACTCGATTCATGCTGTGTTTCATAGAGATGTTGTGCCAGATGGATTTCTATTAACCCTCAGAGCTCTGCTGTAGAGATGACTCAGCCTCAGCATTGATTGGTATATCCGACTATTGTGTTGTTAATTTACAGTCTATCCTCGAATCCTGAATCCACTCGAATCTTTACACCATAAATATAGAAGGTTATACAATTTACAAAGATGCAATCGTTGAAAATGAGGGTGAAATTTGGTCATAACCTGTAAACTGTAATAGCTGACCCTTATTTCTGTCACATTTTGACATTGTTCCAGAAAAACATGGCGAATGTGTTTCCTCGGTTTCTAGAAGTTATTTGAAAGTTGTGTTTTTTAAATATGATTATTATTATTATTATTATTATTATATTTATTATTTATTATTATTATTTTTTAAAATGTTGTTTTAATGGTTTTCATCAGCAGCAGAAGTAGATGCTAAATTATGTGTTGGAGTGTCAACATTTGCACTAATTTATATGAAGTTTTGCAAGTTTTCTTTGCAATTTCCAAGTTTATTTTGGTTTTTATTTGGGTCCCAATTTCTGATTTTCTACATGCAAACATCACAGGAACGAGCTGCAGGCGGGAAAGGATAATCTGCAGGACTGGTCTTGGAAATTCTTAATAGAAACTGTTACAATTATAAGAGTTAATAATTATTTTCTTCAATAGGACCAGTAGGTGGCGCTGTTATTATGATGAGTTCAGTCAGGGATCATCATCAAACTTGTAAAATTTGGTACAGTCGGAAAAATAAAAGAAAAAACGAATTTTGAGGGGAACGTTGTTGAGGCTGCGAAATACCGTGAAAACTCAAAACTCAACATGCATATTAGCCTAATTTTCAGTCAAATCAATCTCATTACAATTTATTAGCAATAACTCTGAGACCCTCTGTCAGTAGTTTTTAACTGGACTCTGCTCACTGTTTTTACATGCGTACGATTTTACTATTTGTGTTGTAAAAAGTGTAAATACTTATATATTATCTCTATATTTTTACCTATTTTTACTCTTTTACTGTAGTTGCACTGGAGTAACTGTGACAAAAGCAATTTCCCCCTGGGGATTATTAAAGTATTTCTGATTCTGATAACATGAGTAAACGTCAGTATTTACAGGTCCAAACTAAAGATTTAGTAGCTCAAAAATGTCTCTTGAAATTCAGTTTTTAGGATAATTGTTCAGTCCTGAGTCTAAGTTTTATACAGGATAAAAGACGTACTCTATTTCTGTGAGATTAAAGGTTCAGACGGCGTGCACTGCGTTGTGTTTTGCAAAAATTTCAATGCGACTGTGTAACTTCTGAACAAGATCCAGCTCATGTAAGCTGATTCACACACAAGAGCTTAAAAATGCTGCTTATAGTTTTACAGCATTATACCATATTCTAAGAGATATACCAAGAAAGTTTTACTGCTGATGTAATTCTGTGTTGAAATCAGAGTCACTTCAGGACTCCTCATGCGTCTGCTGCTAAAATAGAAAAGTACACACGCTAAGATTAGATTTTTGCACTGCACGACACTGTAATAATGTGTTTTTGTAGTTGTAGTAATGTAACATGATGCTTTCATCAATGAGCCTCTACAAAAAAAGAGGTTTTTTTTCTCTTGCAGTTTCATTTCTAAATGGTTAAAAATGTGTTTTTACAGCGCTGGCTTTGGGAATGTTCTATTGTGAAAGAAAAAAGAAACTTGTTTGTTGCTTTGACAGAAAATGTACCAAATAACATCCAATCGGTTCAGGATGAAGTTATTCGGTAGATAATTTCCTCGTCCGCTCGTTGTAAAAGGATCTAAGATCATCCGAGCCGTGATCCTTCCTCTAAACTCAGGACTCGCCGCACGGTCGTAAACACTTGAAAGTAGGAAACACAACAATTACACATCTCTGTGATTGATGGTTACAGCGTGTCCTCCATTTTTAAAGTGCTCCCATGTGGACGATTCATTATTTGAAAGTGAACATCCACTTAACACCCGTGTACGGTGTTTAAAGCAGCGTTTAAGAGCTCTACTCCTGCATCCATCAAACCTTCAGTGGGTGTAGTGACACGCTTTCAATTAAAAACACAACAAAAACAACAGATTTTAACTCTGATCATGTACTTTTAATAGGTATTACATGAAATGATTACAGTATCAACACATTTCCCTTTAATTCCTCTCCTCAGTGTCAGAATTTTCACATTAAAAGCACGGAGACGACGTCTTTCTCAGGGACTCATTAATAATGCATTATCACTCAGCAAACTATAGGGACGTGTAATGTACCTTGACGGCTTTTAAAGCTTATTTAAGTGTTAAATATTTAAGATTTGTAGCCTCCTAACATAAGGCTGTGTCACCGAACTGACATACATCTCGTTTAAAGCGCCGTGCCCTTGTGAGGCGACGCTAGCCGCGCTGACAGAGCTCGCTTTGCAGTCTGCTCCAGCATCTGCCAGCGCGTTTGATGGCACATCAGAGGACACAGTAAACATTGACTGAAACATCTATCTTCCCGGCAACCTGTTTTTTTTTTTTCTTTTTTATGGATTTATCCGGGTTTAGATGCTGCCTGTCATAAATATAAAAGTGCTGTGATCATTAGCAGAGTGTCAGGTGAGGGTGGCACACGAGATTGCCGCTGTATTTGGATATTTTGAACCGTGATTGCTGCAGCTACTCCAGGAGAAAGAGGCCCATTAGCTGGAAATTAACTCCCACTTTGATTATGATGACACATACAGGTTTAGATACAGCGATATAAATACTTCAAACACAATTACCAGAGAACGTTTCAGGGTTTATCTTCAACCTCTTGGCCATCTGTGCTGTGATTTTATATCCGTCATCTCACCTTCAAACAGGTACAGGCGTCCATTGTTCAAATCCGACTGTGGTAGTTTATTCTGAAAGTTCTGATTGATTTATAGTTAAAGTTTAGACTTTTAGGCAAAGATAAAGTAATTAAAAACTTTACTGGAGGTGAAATTCTCTCCTCAGCTGTCTGATAATCAAAATGAATCCAATACAAAAGGTGCAAAGTGTTAATAAGTTTAAGATTTAACGATCAAAACAACCGATTCAGAGAAATCCTCATGTTTAAAACACTGATATCTGATAACTATTGTTTACATGTAAGAGTTTGATTAATTTCACTTAATATTTGAAGGTCTGAAAAAGAGATAAAAGGTCGTAAGAGATCTTAACTTTAGTGGGATTTCATTCGAATGTAAGAAATTTTAAAAAAATAGAAACGAGATTTACGGATCTTGATTATAATTTCATTCGGCTTATGCGGAGGTGCTTTATCCTCATACTCTGACAGTCAGATCACTATTAAGAATTTTTCCCTCACCTAAAAAACTTTGTGGCGCAATAAAAACTACACAGGCTGCAGATAACTTCTTGTAAAATATTCCAATGAAGAATAAACAAATACAAATACGAACAGGACTAGAATAAGTTTAAGGACATGATAAAAATGTGAACGCAAAATCGCGCTCACCCTATTCACAACTTTCAATCTTCACATTCTCATCGACGTTCAAACAGCTGACTCGTTACATCTCTAAAAAATAATCCGACTTGAAGACAGGAAGTCTGGGGAGTTAAAGTCAGGAGGTTTCAGGGAATCTTCATGCTGATTGGCCGTAAGGGTTTCATAACGGTATGAAGCGCAGCGAGTTCGTGAATTTCATGTCATCTTCTTGTAAGACTTTGCAACTAGAACAAAGATCTTTTTGCATCTTTACATTGACTTAACGTGTAATACTCCTACTTACATAACTTTATTTACATCTGATTTGAATACAGCTCAGACTGCTCGGCTATCCTCGTCCTGGTATGAGGCGAAAACAGAATCAACCTTCTCTGTGAACTCGGGCTTTGTTCACAGCTGAAATCACTTTTTCTTTCAAGAGTCTTTCTGTCATTATTTTTGATTCGTTTTAGTGTTATACTTAATTGGATGGTGTAGCAATAATAGCCATAAAACTGTTTTAGATAGGTGACCATATGTCCTCTTCTCCATGTCCTCTTTTTTGGTGGCTGCCCGGCCTTGTCCGGGAGAGTTAATAAAATCCTTCAAATGTCCGGGGTTTCGTATGGAAGTTTTGAGTTTGTGTCGCATGAACTAACTGAGTTAGAAGTGCGTAAGAAAAACTCTCAAAATTAACTACGCATGACTCAGTAACTCCGCCCCGCGTAGTCGTGTCCTCTTTGGGGATTCAGAATATGGTCACCCTATTTTTAGAGGACTTTTTTTTTGTACTTTGTGGTGATCACGACAAAGTAATTAAAACTTTTGCAATCAAATCAGCATTTTTTGTTTTCAGCCGACGTCACGTTAGCATTGTCACCTTAAGTTGTAAGGTTAGGAGGTGCCGAATTCACCTGCTCACTCAAAAGTGTTAAAAACACTTTTTATGCCTCGAAAAGTTCAGTCCTTCTAAAATGTCACCCCTGCTCTCCAGGATTCGTACTCCGAAGCACCAAAAGTTCCCATCTCCAGCTGCTAATTACAGAAGTGAACTTTGGTTGAATGTAAAACGAACATCATTGGAACCATGAAAACATTTTTCAGTCTCTGACCTCATTCAGTCATCCTTTAAAACAGATATATCTTAACATGCACCAGTTCACTCATTCCAGGTTATCTTCAGGGATTTTGTGATCTAACTGCTTCGCCGTCTCTCCGCTGTAGATTTCCACTGTCCTCAACCTTTTGGTTGGACGGAGTGGATTCGTGATAAATGTTGCTGTAAAACCCCAAAACACAAGAAGAGCAAAGATGAAGGATAAAAAGATCTCAAATTTCCTGCACAAACCACAAAACGTCAAAACTGAATGTGATGATGGAGTCCACTCGCCGTAAAGGTCTGAAAGTCAAACTGGGAGCACGCCAACATGCTGGTGCACAGTGTGGCTCCAACACCCTAATGGACCAGACACCCTCAGGCTGAACGGGGGTGTGAACACTGCACAGCATTCATATGTGTGCAGGAACTAAATGGGTTTAGCCTCCGTTGGCCCACATCTGTAACTATAACAGAGCGGTTTTGTCTTTTCCCGGCGGGTATTAAACGCCACGATGACATCAGGGAGACCACCAGTGAGTGTTTAGTGTTTATTGAGTGACCGGATGTCATTACCAGCTTCTATCGGGGGGTTATATTTTATAAAAACACAGTCAGAGAACCCTTAAATGTTAAAATCCATGTCTCTTATACAAACACAGTTTTTTAAAACCAGAAACACAATCATTTCCCTCAAAGGCAAAGAGCCGCAGATGCATTCGAGATCAATTCCTCGCCGATCTCTCAAAAGAGAAATCAACATATACACGGAGAAATGTGAGAGAGAGTGTGTGTAAGGGGTTTCTGCCTCAGTAGATACGGGTCAAGAGGTCATCCAGCCCCAGAAAACTGTATAATTTTACATCCTAATGTTGTCATAACTGTTTTTCAGATCTACTGTAAATGGGGAGAGTGTGCTGACAGGTCAGACCGGTGACTCACGCCACGTTTACCCACAGATTCCTGCCTGGAGACTTCACCAAGGTCAGGCAGCCCTTCACTTTGCATGCATGCATTAATCTAATTTGTTTCAAGTAAACCCGACACTGACTCTCCTGCAGTTTTCTTTTATCAAACCGTCCTGGAAGATGCAAAAAGAGAGAGTCTAACATGTTTCCAACAACATCTGTGGATCTGGACCCAGATTTTCGTTGCTGTTTCCATCAACTGCAGTTAATATGTCGCTCTCTTCGTATTCACTCGCCCCTCTTTGTTTTGTTCTGCTGTCACTTTGTAATAAGTCACCAAGATCGCCACTGTACCCTTTCATTTCTGCATTTGTCCGGCGTCTGTGTGATTCAGCCGTGCTTTTTTCATGCAGTAATTATAAGACAAACACATCGTTATTATAAAATAATGACAGTATTGATTCATTTGTCTTTGACAGGCAGCTCTCAGGAATTATTTTCATTGAAAATACAAAAATATAGATTTTCTCGTGGACTAAAGAAAATGGTGGTGTAGATATATATCAGTCTAGAACTCCCACATGACATCAACTGTGAAACAAATAATTAAAAATGTAAACTGAAGCAGATTAGATTTGCTTTATCTCAGAATAAATACAGAGATAAAACTGGTACGCTGCTGCTGCCATTGATCCAAGCAAATGTCTGTCAAAATGCAAAGAGCTCCACAGTCACAGCTTATACAGTCATTGATTAGCCCAGACAGGAAATACATAACTAAATAAAAGTATGATCCATTTAAAAATAAAACTTCATTTCAGCCCAACATCGTACAACAAAACAAGAATAAAAAACACACAATCAAAGGACAGTTTTATCGCTCTAACCAACCGTATCATCGCTCTCCTCAGATAAAGCATACATTTAAAAATAACTCCGTTTTACCGTCTTTACAAAGTTTGTCTACTTTTCTTCTTACTCTTTAAAAATCAGCAGATAAATAATTCCTTGTTGCCTTTTTTTTGCACAAACTTGTTCAGATCCCAGTTTTTCCTGTGTGCCTTTACGCAGGGCCGTGTTTGGGGTGTTTGACTGGGGTGCCACATCATAGGTTGGGGTGGGGGCAGGTTATCTATTATTAACAAGAACCCACTTTTTATTCCTTATTTAATTAAAACACGATCATTTAAGTGTCAGACAGATGATATATTATCATAAATACATGCACATTAGCCAGTCTAATCAAGTAATAATGCTGCGTTCCAGTTACCTCAGAAGTCGGATGTCAGAGCTGGAAATGACGTTACGCCCCAGTTGACGGTATTCCAGTAAACAAATCGGAAAGCCAAGATGGACGCCTACAGTTACCCATTGTTAGCTGTTGTTTACAATTGTCAGCTGTTGTTAGCGGTTGTCAGTCGTTGTTCGCAGTTGTCACCTGACGTTAGCCGTTATCAGCGATTGTTAGCTGTTGTTTACAAATGTCAGCTGTTGTTAGCAGTTATCAGTTGTTGTTAGCTGTTGTCAATTGTTGTTATCTGTTGTCATTATTTGTTAGCAGCTGTCTGCTGATGTTAGCTCTTATCAGCGAATGCTAGCTGATGTTTACAATTGTCAGTTGTTGTTAGCCGTTGTCAGTTGTTGTTAGCCGTTGTCAGCGATTGTTAGCTGTTGTTCACAATTGTCCGCTGTTTTTAGTTTTTGTTGGCTATACCAGTTGTAACAACGCATAACGCAGTATTTTACTCTTACAAACACCACAGCACCGTGTTCACAGTTAGATGTTGGGCAGTACGACATAAACCACTTATTTAATTTCACAAAAATAAAACAGAAGTGCTAATAAATAAAACATTACGAGAGCTTTTATTGTTATTCTTTACTGTTGATGCACTGTGCTGCCATCTTGGATTATGACGTCGTCAATTTGGGGTTGGTGAGGATCGTCTATCGAATCGGAAATCCGACTTTTTGGGGGCGTTGCAGATGAATTTCCGACTCGGAGCTCGGAAATTCGGACTTCCAAGCACAACTGGAACGCAGCATTACCCAAAAATGTAAATTTGGATTGTCACAGCAGTCGTGTCATAAACATCGAGCACCTCTGAGTCAAATCAGATGATTTGATGCATTTTTAACACAGATATAAGAAAAAAATGAGTGAAGGCCAGATTTGTTGTGTTAAATATTTAGAAAACAGAAATATGAACAGAAGACTGAAGAGAGCTGCAGATAAAGACACGAGTGTCGTTATTTAAACCTTCAATTACACCTGTTTATAAAATATATAATTACAGTAGAGGAGAGGAAACTGTCTACCATCTGCTAATAATGTTTTAAACTAACCAGGCGTCTCATCTGAGAATGAAACGACTCGCAAACTCGGAGTATGATCGTTTTTATCAGCTGCAGCCCACACAGGCTTCGATCTGTGACCGTGAAGTGGTTTGGAAAGATCGTGACCTTCATCACACACTCGTGTTCACCTGCGGAGCTGAACTCTGACTTTCTGTTGCATCATCTCCGTCGGCTCATTTTGTGTTTTTCTTTTTTATTTCATCTTAGCCTCTCTTATCTTCTTACTTAAAAGGATCCTTTATTTCAACCTGAAAGAGACAAAAAAAGAAGAAAGCCAGATGAAACAGACCTGACTGATCCCGTCCTGATGAATGGTAATAGACACATTATGCTCTCAGATGACAGTTGTGAACAAACACAATGGCGCTCCGTAATTATGAGGAAAACCTTGATCCTGTAATTCTTGAGTTAATGGCGCGGCACTACTCTCGATTTTATTCTCTCTCTGCTGTGTTTGTAACGTCGCCTGAAACCAAAAAAGGAGGCAGATGTACGGCATCACAACCTTGATCCCTCACCCTAAAAACGCACCTCCGACACCCAATTGCATAAAACGTGTGAGCGATAAAACCCGATGAGTCCTGCAGCCCTTCTGCTGGTCTGGCGTAGGAAAACGAGGATTTTAGGAGGAGTAGATGATGCAGAGAACATAACAGGATTGGTCTGTCAGAGTCCCAACGCTGCACCATGAATCTGACGAGGAGGTGGTGGATATGGAGAGAATAGGAGAAAGTGGGAAGTGAGGTGGAATTGATGGTGTAAAAATGTATGATGGGGTGAGCGTAAAACGGGGCAGAAAGAAAACGTGGCTGTCATGGGTCACGAGCGGGGGAAATGAAGTCGTAACACCGTCGCATACGGCCGTAACCAGGGCTGGAGGAGTCCTCCGTTAAAAACCGCTCTTTATCGTCCTTCTCTCAGGATTGTGGGGAATATTTGTCATTTTCTGCATCAGAACCTGGACATATTTCACCTTTATCAACCCAATTTCCTTATTTTTTTAACCCTAGAACACTATCGCTGGGTGATTTTCGCCCAACCAAACATGTTTAGGTGTTTTTCATGATGTTGCATTTGTCTGAGTATCATTACCTTTGACATCTTTGAAGGGATATTTGTTTCCCTGATCGAAAACCTGCTTTCTCCTTTTTCCGCTTCTTCATCCGGCAATAGTGATAAAGGGTAAAGTAGGTTCAGGTATATTTGATATCTGCATGTAGAGAATAAGGTCAGTAAGAGTGGTCCTGGAATTTGCATGCGATCTAGGGCTGCACGATATTGGAAAAACTAACATTGCAATGTTTTCAACCCTGTGATATATATTGCGATTGTGCCATTGAGCACAAGAGTCAGGATTAGAGTGCAGCTCTGAGCAGCAGAGATAAGGAGACCCTGACAGTTAGTCATGATGATAAAAAGAAACCAGAGCAAACTGCATGGAGATGATGTGCGATGTAATTCAGAATATCTAACACTTTAATGCCTTTTGTGTCATATTTGATACATACTTTAATGATACTTCTATCAAATCAATATGATCAACAAATTACTTAAAAAAACACCTGAATACAGTCCAATAAATGATAAAAATGTCCTCTTGTGGTTTTATCAGTTTCCAAACACATCTAATTCAACAAAAGAGATAAATAAATATATTTGTTAAATTTTAAGGACATTTAAAATTTCCTGGTTTTAGTAGAAAGTGAAATAAATATTTCAGCTCCAAAAAAAAATTGAATTTTCTGGCCATAATTTTTGGTTTTAGGCATTAAAGGGCTAACATTGTTATATTTTGATTAAGTGTATTGATGCCGGTGGATAATCAGTCTGAATTTACTGGAAAGTCCACTTTAATTTTGTTTCTGTTAACTGTGGAAATCAGCCAATCATAGACCTGCTTTCCATTATATCTCAAACGCTGATATCATACAATAAATTTAGGAATCACAAGTCTCTGCTCCAGATTTTATATCATTTCATCTCAAATTTCATCATCCATCGTTGGATTTATGGCAAAGTTTCAAAACGAGCCATCTGCAAGTCCAATATTTTTATGTTGACTTCAGATTTCACAGCTCAGTCGTATGAATGAGTTGATTTTCTTCGTTATTATACAATTAAAGCTTCAGACAAGAAAAAAGTATTGAGTGAATTTTTCTTTATTCTATAAATACCAGGAGACAGCTCCAGCCCGACGATGAGTGTGAAGAGAGAAAAAAGAAATCTCTTTACAAATGTGTTTGGCTGAGTGTGGATGTATCTCCTCTCACTTATCCTCTTCTCTCCCCGTCAGAGCCAATATGTTCTGCATTTGAATCACACTGTTATTTAACATAAATCGAAGCAACTTTAATCAACAGAAAATAAATGCATGATGCTTCCCCGTATGTAATTAGTCAGAGGTCTTTAGCTTATCTGTTTTTATAAGACCTCCGGGCTCAGTAATGGGATAATTAAAATCAATACAGTGGCATCATTGCATGTGACTCCTTCTTAGATCTGATCCTGGAGAGTCTGCGCTCACAGAGGGACACAGGAGGGACTGTTTTTGTCCTTGTTGTCGGTCATTGTAACTAGAAAATATCAAAGTGACGCTTTTTGGTGCTAAATTTTCATAAACCCTTTTAACCGGTAACCCTTTCTTTTACGGTACAGTTATTACCAGGTAATTAACAGGTAATTACCTAGTAACAATATGAAATTATCTGGTAATTACATGATAACTACTAAGTCAATACTGTCTAGTTTTTCTTTTGTTCTTTTTTCTGTGCAGCTCCATTTTCAAAAGCTATTTGGGGTTCTTATCTTCTATGATTGACACTTGATACAGCCTATTGCGTAGCGATACGCTGTTTGAACCGTGCATTATCACAGCGACTCACCCGCCGACTGCGTACTATGCTACTGTGCAAGTGGTGGTTCCAGGAAGTGGAGAAAATCCTGGAAATACCAGAGCAATTCGGCTTCAAATTTGTACAATGATGGAAGGTTACCTACCTGGTAGCTAGACAGTATTGACTTAGTAGTTATCATGTAATTACCAGATAATGTCATGTTGTTACTAGGTAATTACCTGTTAGTTACCTTGTAATAAGTGAACCGTAAAAGAAAGGGTTACTTTTTAACTTTAGAACACTATTGCTAAAATTAGTGATACCATCACTATTGCCAAGTGATCCACCAATCATATTCATTCTTTACTCAGTTGCCAACCAGACAATTAAGTCTGATTTAACTCTTGATTATTGTTGAAATAGCAATGTCAATCTACAGATGCATTATTTCATAGTCGTCTTGATCACCAGGTGTTGGAGAGGTAGATTTTGTACCAAATAGATGAAAAATTTGTGCAAATAACTCTGGTGCACGGGAGGACATATTTGCACAGCACAGTGCAGTTTGTGAATCATGTAACCCTTTGTGCTTTGTGAATTAGACAATGCATTTTTAGCTGTTTTGCACATGAATCTGGTCTTGAACCAGAACATGAACAATTACAAATCTTAGACCGAGAGGATTTGAATTGAAATTCCTCTAATACAGGCCTCCCTCATATTAAGGCCTGGTACCCTAATGTAAAGAAACTATTTGAGGATCTATGGTATCTTAAGACTTTTCACCTTTGTGTCTCATAACTCTAATCATGTTGCAGTTTTTGGGGTTTTTAGTGTGGATGAGAAGATCCAAAATCCGGTCCAACTCGGTCAATTCTCATCTGTTCATGGACATTGTAGGAAAAGAGCAAAATAACACAAGAAGTGTCTCTACCACCCTCTGTGTGATCGCTTATCATAAAAAAAAACAATCACAGAGCACTGCTGATGCCAGAAACAGTTCCTCATATTAAATTTGTTAGAAGATATCCGCACGCAGAAGTCATTTCCACACAAAACAGCATTTTCAGATTTAGCCGGCTTTGGGGCGAGCCGAGTCTGAGAGGAAAAAATGCAAGAGGAATAAAAACAGGGAGGCAAACGGAGGGCAAGAAGGAGTGTGTGAGAGAGGGGAAGAAATGCGAAGTAGCAGAGTGGAAAGGTGAGGGCGTAAAGCTTGAATGCTTCAGCACCATTGCCACCACAAACAGTGCTGACCTGGAAAGCCTGTGTGTGGTGAAAATCAGCTTTAAGAAACCCTTTTAGAGACCTCCTCGGGGGATTAATACTGTTTTGGTGTTTGGGGTCTCTCTTTCACTCTCTCTCTCCTTCTGTCGGTGTGCTTGTGTGCATGTGCCCGTCCATCACATGTGTGTTTCAATCCTATGTGTGCGAAACCTAAAAAAAAAAAGAAAGGGAGGGGGGTTAACCGTGGGAGAGAGAGAGAGCGAGAGGAACAGAGACGCAGAGCGAGAGAGGAAAGGCTGATTGGCATTTTGGTATTAAGCAGAGGCAGAGATGCAAGGGAGGCAGAAATAATTTCATTGGCTGAATTAAACCTCAATGGGCAGAGTGCAGGATCCACCGTTTTTTAGAGCGCCAGTTAACTAAACATAAACAGCAAATTGGACTCTTCAGCCTAAACATAAATTAAAATGTCATGGCAGGAACATGATTTCCACTCCCTTCATGAACTTTTTTCCCCCTCTTCACTGGACCGTTGGAGCACGCAGAGGCTGATAATTGCCTTCCACCGTTTGGGGATTTCCAACTTGTGACTTTGACTGTAATGCAACATTAGTCAGAAAGCAGTGCTACTCTTTTGGCTGTGAGGAATGTTAATTTAATGGATAATTAATTCAAGTCTTACACAACTCGGATGTTATTTTTATAGGTTTGGGCATTCTTGTCTTTTAGTTTTGACGTCTTTGTTCTCCCTGAAGTACCCGCAAAAGCATTGGCTCAGCTTTGGAAATGTCAAAACAGCAAAGAAACAACTTTGGACAACTTTAAAAAGAGAAGTACAAGTCGTTTCTGCTGCACAATAACAGCGAGAGAGTAGTGGATGAAGTGAAATATAGCCAAACAGTTAAAGCACTGACTCAGAGCGGCTCATTTAATAGCAGATGTGATATAACATAGAGCCGTGTCCATGAGCATGAAGGGACTTCTTATTGTGTTAGCAGAGAATGTACTACATTAAAACGAGCATTAAAAAGAAAACTGGAGATACAGTAAAAAAAGAAATAAGAGGTTAACAGGAATGGTTGAAAAGTCAAGGTGAAGGATAAAACTCAAGGTTTGTTTATTTCCACTTACAGAAGAAATCTTACATTCACACACAACCTTTACTATCTTTTCCTTCACTTCGTAACTCTGGTCGTCCAATGTTTGATTATTCAACTATGATTAAACTCTTAACTCGAATATTTAATTCTGATTTAACTGCATCTCTAAAGTGCATTTTTAAACCGTTAATAAATCTGTGTTACCAATCTAACAATCTGGTCTGAAACGTACGAAAGAGGTTTAGGGCCACAAGAAGAGAAAAAAACAATTACAAGAGTGATTTTTTTGAATTTCCATTTTGGGATTAAAGTCGAAATTTTAACTTTATTAATGTCGACTTTAATCTCAATGTTTTGACATTATTCACAACATTTTGTCATCTCAAAATTTCAACTTTAATCTCATAATTTCAACATCATTCACAACATTTTAACATTTTGTAACATTTAATGTCGAAATTTCAATGTTAAATCTCAAACTTTCTACTTTATTGACATAATTTCAATTTTTTTAATCTCAAAATTTTGACTTTAATCTCCTTCCTGTAATTATTATTTTTCTCTTCATGTGGCCCTAATCCTCTTTGGTAGAAACTAGTCCTAAAGGAACAGCTTCAGGGTTTTTATTCTGACAATTAAAAGTTAATCTATTACTGTAAAGGAAAGCATAATTACCCATTAAGAAATATGCAGGTGTGCATGCGTAAAGTTGACACTAAATCAATTTGAAAGTGATTAACTCTGATCAACAAGCTCCATATTAGTTATTTGAATGGCTTATGTGATGCATTTGCATTGACATCGAAAATAAACGAAATAATATGACTCAACATTTATTTTCTGAGACCTTTCTGTTGGTCTGAAACTTTCAGTTTTTGCCTGTTTTGGACAAACAGCATCAATGTGATCCTGAGCCGCAGCTGTTTCTTTAATTGAGTATATTATTTAAGATGAGATAAGATGTTCCTTTTAAAGTATTCTAGAGTAGTATAATAGTATTCCTTTGACAATTTTCTTTATTTATGATGAAAGTTGGTCAAACTTTGAAATACCAGACCACGGCTTCATTCAAACACATCTAATTATGTTCAAACTCAAACTCAGATCTGCAACTAGAGGAGACAGGGAGATAAAGAGGGGGAAACCTCCTTGTGTATTCTTTCACAGCTCATATCAGCGCTCTCCTAATCACGGGACAGTGAGTGGACATGGTCCAGAGAGGAGCTAATTATCACTGACAACAAACGACACATCAAACAGGTATTATTATGTGAGCTGCACGAGGCCCGCCGCGCTCCGTGTCTCTCAGCCGACTATTTCCACGACTCCGGGATGCTAGATTACTTTTGACAGAAAACATACAAATAAAACATTACCAGGGCTTACAGGGAGAGCTGGCTGAGATACCCACTGAGTAAATTATTCATACATTGACTTACTGAAGGAATGAAAGCTTCTGTCTTTCCTCTAATCCCCAGCAAAGCTTTCGGTAATAGTGCGGCGCTCAAGAGTTGCCTCTCACAAGACTCTATTCATCAAACTTTCCAGTGTATGAAATCAGTGTCTGACAGGCTTTTGAAATCCTGTAGCTCCTGCGTTATTACAGCGTTTAGCCTCAAACAGGCTCTCAATCTAATGACTTCTCCGCGATGGTGATTGCTTTGATTTTAATTGGGATGTTCTAGGGGTGCTGCTGCGTCTAATCCAGCTGTCTCCCACCAGTTAGACAAGGGTTGCTCACGGTGAGCCTTTCTTCCCGCTCTGAAACCCATCACAGGGTAGCACGGCTGCCCTGTTGAGTTTAGTGACGGGGGTTTGGAGGAAGGAGGGGGACCATATGTCACAGCAGGGTGCCTTGTATTTCTCACTGAAGTCATGGGTAATTGAGAGATGAAATATAGAGCCCATTGATGGGGAAAGTCTCAAATGGGCGACGTCCTTGGTCACTGGAGACGGGGTTATGGCACAGTAAAGCACCATTTAGCTTGACCATCCTTGAAACACTAAGCCATGACCCCTCCTGGGGGAAAAATAAGGAACAGGAAGGGCTTACCTGTTTCTGCAGTCAATTGAAGGATCATACCGGTGTGGAGTTTTTAGAGCGGCTGCCCTGTGGTGAGAATTGACCACTTGGTTACCCCCCAGTGACGATAACTCTTGGAACAACCAAACTTCCAATGTTTTCATGACAGTTTTATTGCAGTTGTTTTTTTTGGCTTTTGAATGTAGTGTAGGGGGTTTTTGGTGGTCCCCTTTGTTGTGTTAGGTTTTTTATTCCAAAGAAATCTGACAACAGTAGGACGTTTGCAGAATTCAAATCCATATAAAAACAAATACTATAAAGTAGGATTGCATCTTATCATATCATACGGTTCTGAATCATACATAATATATTATGTTATATTTTAACCTTTCATATAAACCATTTATATCATATAATATTGTATCGTGCCATATCAGTTATCATGTTATATCATATCGTGTTATATCATATATAATATCGTATACCATTTATATCATATATCATATTATATCATGTCATATCAGTTATCATGTTACATTATATCATATATCATGTTAAATCATTTTATTGAATACCATAGTGTATCATATCATACATCACATCATATCATATATGCCATTGATATCGTATCATATTATATCATGTCTTATCAGTCATCATGTTATATCATATCTTATCATGCTTTCCTATCATTTCACTATATCCTGTTTTGTATCTGGTCACATTGTATTGGATTTTTACATATGATACAATGTGCCATGTCTCAGTTTATTGAATTGGTTGTATTGTATTTAATTGTATCGTATCATATTATGACATATCATATAACATTATGTCTTGTATCATATAACGTTTATGTACCATGACGTATCATAACTTATCCTATCATATCGTCTCATAACATATCATGACATATTGTATGATAATATCTCATGTCATAATATATCTTATCATATCGTTACTTTTAATATCATTACGTATGATAATGTACTGAATGATATCATACTGTATCATATCAAAATGTATCATAAATTATTGCCTCATAACATATATCATAAAGTATGATAATGTATTGAATTATATATTATTGTATCTTATCACAGTGTATCATAAATTATCTTCTCATAACATATCATATAAAGTATCATATTGTATCAAAGTGTACTGTATCATAACGAGTCTTATAATATCAAGTCATATCATATCTTGTCATATATTGTATCATATCGTATCATATTGTATCATATCACACTGTATCTTATTGTATCACATCAAATAGTATCATATTGCATCATCTCGTAAAACCATCATATGACACCACGTTGCATTGTATCGTATTGTGTTGCATCATTTCATATCATACTCTATCCTTCCTTATTTTGCTTTGCAGTACTCTCATTTTGAGTCTAGTATTCTAATCTATCCCAGCTTGTCCTGTTGCACTAAAAATATATTCTAGTCAGCCATATTGAGGCACTTAGAAGAGAGTTTTGTAAAGACAGAGGAGGAATGCAGATGTGTCCAAATACAGAGGCCAGAAGGCAGCAAA